CCCGAACGTGTATAAGCAAAAATTCGTAAAATTTTATCCATAATTTTCCCCAGAAAAAAAATCATATCATAAAAAAAAGCCTAACGTGCCTAAAAAAATTACAAAAGTCAAAAAAGCAACCTCTTTTTTCCCCGGATTAGGCGGGCACCCAAAAGTTGCAACACAGAACGTCTCACGTCACGATTGAGCCGTGACCACAGATTACTAAAACCGCGACGCGGTTTAGGATCACTTATTGCGGGATTCCCCCGTTTGAGTGAATGACTGACAATCCACGGAAAATATTGTTATTGTTAAGGAAGTGATTACCGCCACCCATGAACAACTGCAACACCAGGGGAATTGCAGGTGCGTTGCCTTTTTAAAAGGAGTAGGTTCTTTTCTTGAAAGTCCCTAAATCGTATCGGTCCGGAAAAATCTCTGATGGTAATCGATTCTACAAATAAGTTGTGCGATGAAGAAAACTTCTTTTAAATCGCACAGAGGTGGACCGTCTGTCATCCAGATGGCATGGATGGTATCGCGAGTTTTCTCGCGATGTGCGATGGTGAAATTGTGTGGATGGAATAATTCCGAACAATTCCTCAGAGCACTCCCCGTGGTAGATGCGATAAAATACCCAAAGACATGCAAAATCTCTTCGCAGTGCCAGTGAGTCAAGCCGATCGGAAAGAGTTCTGTCGCCGACGATTCGAACAGCTCTGCGCTGAAGCTGATGCCCAGAGATGGGAACAGTATTCCATGTGCGGCTGAACCTGCGCCTTGTAAACTTGCAAGCGGTGTGCCGGCATGAAATACCGTCCCGCTCTGCTGAGCACGCCAAGGTTTTTGGAGGCCGATTTGACCTTCTCTTCCAAGTGACCGCGAAACTGCACGTTACTCGATATGTCGACGCCTAGGATTCCGATACTGGTTGAGGCAAGAAGGGTAGTGCCTTGAAACTGAGGAGATACGACGAACGGGGTTCTTTTTAGCAGTGAACGCACAAACGTGTCTTTTGGGGATTGAACTAGACTAGATTTAGTCGCCCCCAGTCCGAGACTTTGTTCAACAAAGTCACGAATTTAAACACAAGTTTGTCCCGGTACCCGGCGACGTTTTCCCGAGAAATATTGGCACGGCCGGTGTATAAAGCATCACCAGTGCTGTCGTCCGCATATCAATGGATGTTACCGGTTTGCAACATATCTGCAGAAGAAACAGCGTTGGCGATAGCACGCAACCCTGTGGAACACCAGCGTTAATGAACTTGTAATCGGAGCATACATCGTTTACTACCACCTTGATGCTTCGATCTGCAAGAAAACAGATGATACAATTGCACAATTTCTCGGGAAGCCAATAGGAAGGGAGCTTCGTAAGAAGCGCTTTGTTTCAAACCCGATCGAAGGCCCTTATAACAAGAAGCTCCCCCCCCCCCCACTTGTTTGTGCAGTAGTAGTAGTAAAGTTCACTTTAGGCGCCGTGCGCGAAAAATTCCACTTAAGTTATTCTACGAGTTAAGTCATTCTACTAGTGAACTCATTCTACGAGTGCTAAGATAATGTCGTTATACTGTCCTTTGTGGTAGTTCTTCTGGTGCATGCAAGATGGTGTTGCTGAGAGACTGCCCTGTATAACGTTGAGATGGGTGTGTTCCCGTTGGTTTGCATACTTTGGTGTTATCATGTCACTAACAAGCTGAGCCCCGCGGTTTCACCCGCGTATATCACGCCTCTGAGCCGCGCGACATAAATTGACACCTAGGTCAAGCATTTTAGATGTATGGAAAAATTTGCTAATTTAATGGAGTACTTTTATCTATCGGTTTATGTACGCTACAGAGCAAAGTAAAATTTTATCCACTATCCTGGGTGAGCGTATCAAACCGCGCCCTAGAAAGTGTCCCGAAGCGTTCTGCTTAGCCCAGAGATTAGTGAGTTTAAACAAACAAAAACACTCTTCTGCTTCATTATGTTATAATATCGATTACCTTCACATTACACTAGTGTTCAATTGTAACGGGGACTTATTACGGTATGGTAGAATTGTAATTGCTCTATACTAACTGTATAGTGATTTCGCTGTCTTATTACTTATAATGCAAGAGAGCAAGTTAAACATCCACTCTCACACTTTTACTATTTTTAACAATCAATCTTTCCTGATGTATTCCTGATATCAGAAGTGGGATCTTCTGTTGTATTTGCCGATAAGTTTAATTTGTAAAAAAAATGGTAAATAATAATAGAAAAACTAAAATTGTCTTCAGCTATCAATAACTTAGTAAATAAGTAATAAATAATGAACAAAATGCAAGAAAAGTGTATATTTAACCCGAATTGTTTGGCTAGCTTAGTTCCTAGGAGTATTAATTATGAGTAATAACTTATAATCAATATATATTTGAATTGAATAGGAGTGTTTTTGTTTTCTTTACCCTTTATTTGGGCTGCAACTAATTTTGATAAAAGGCCCGTCTAAGGCACGCTACGCCCTCCAAACCTGTCCTTGTCCCTGTCCTGTCCTTTCAAAGAACGATGCCACCATCTTTTTTCCCACACTTCGACACTGCTGTCGAAACACCCAGACAGCAGACTATCTTTTAGTTTCAGGATCACAACAATAAATCCATCTTTCCATCCAAGTATGTCGAACACAGCATTTGAGTCACCTCCGTTAAATCTTTGAACCATTTCACAACACCAATCAACATGACGGAGTTTTTGGGTTTCTATCAAATTATGAAGTAATCGGGGCATAAAACTTCCTGACCGCTAAATGTTCATGGAGGATTTTGTGCACTTGACTCATAACTGATGCTTAAACTTATCCGAATCTGCTGATAAGTCACTCTTAGTCAGTTTCATACGCCGCACAACACTGATGTTATCTTCAGTCATTGCCGTAGAATGCCATCCTTTACGCAGATCATTGGTAAGATTAGTGGGACCATGTTTAAACTCATTAAGCCTTCAATCCCTATAAAAATCCCATGCAGTCTCATGCGTCCGCCTCATCCCGAGCGTTCGCATGTGAGTGCACCCATCCACAGCACTTTAAACCATTAAAACTTATCTAAATATAAGAGAGACTACTTTTCTATGAAGAAGTTTGGCATTATAATATCTATACAAAATTCTCTATCCTGTGGTCTAAACAAAGGTCAGGTTTTACTTCATTACAAAAAGATTTTATTGTACTTTGACAACAAAAAAAATATATACCAAGAGGATGTCGGCAGCATGATAATCACAATTACTTTTATATATTACTCGAAATGATTTACTTTAAAATATAAATTATATTCACAGAAAAACTTTTATTACAATTTTATAATAAAACACTATACTAAAACACTAATAAAACACCTGAAAAATTTAGAAACCAACACAATAACATTCACACAAAAATGGCGTACGAAATGAACGTAAATGATAAATAAATATCCATAGACTGATTGACTTTTTATTTCACTAGAGGATAGAAAATTTCATATTGATTCTATAATGCCAAACTTCTTCATAGAAAAGTAGTCTCTAAACATAAGTGTTTATGGGTTAAAGTGCTGTGTAAAATTTTGAAGGAATATCGAAGCAGTCAAATTTGGATGTTTGCCGTTTGAGAGGTTAAACAAGTTCTAAACAGTGGCACGAGATGGGGCTTCATTGTGAAAGGCCAATTGAAGTATATCATAACTTTCTTGTTGCCTTAAATGACATCAAAAGTCATAAAAAATTGTTGTATGAAAATTTTCTCACATTCATGTTGATGTTACACAATTTTCAGTTTGCCACCAAATCGCAAACAAATGACAAATTCCATTTTCAAAATTTGTACATATTTTTTATTATATATGGTTTACAAGTGGCTAGTCCTAAAAACTTTCAGTGTCGTCCTCATACCATCCAACCACAGATTCGAGTCCTTTATTAATCCTAACATTTTGAATATTGGAATCTGTTTCTTTCAGTCATTTAATTTTAAACAAGGTCACCTTGTATAAAACTTTTCTTTAATGTTAATTTAGCACTATCAGAATAGTTAATCAGTTCACAAAAACATTTACCACTTGACTTGGACTACAGCCCTTCACAAGTCTACTGCTGAACATAGGCCTCCCCCAAGGTATGCCACAAAGCACGGTCCTGAGACACCTGCATCCATCAACTTTAACAGATAATAATAATTAAGCATTATTAATTCAGTAAAAGAAATGTTTGTGTCTGTAATGGTTTTTATTTTTCTGGTCAGTTTTAAGGTTATTTCCATTCCATTTCACTATAGCCTATAAAGTCTACAGCTGAACATAGGCCTCACCCATAGATCGTCTCATAGGGAGGATTTTGCCATAGTTGCCATGCTTGGCATGTGGGTTGGCAACCACAATATTTAATTATTTTGAGTAGTAATCAGGACGATGCTGTTCATCTCCTGTTTTAGTTTCCCCTCTGTCACCTCTTAGGACACCCACGGAATAACATGGGGTATTGGTTATTCTTACACCACCACTACACAGTAAGATTATTTTTAAAATCAATTTTCAAATAAACAAGAAATGTCATGCTGTTTTGGAAATAAAATGACAAAATATGAGTGCTCAAATAACACATTAATATGCAAAATGTAAACATTAAGGATCTATTAATACCAACTAAAATTTAAATATCTACAACTATGTGATGCAAACTGGCTTGTAATGTTCAATAAATAGTTATATCTAACATAAATTTGTTTATCAAATGAACACATGATAAAGTTACTAACATAAGGAAAAACTTGGATAACACATGTTTCAAACTAAATATAAATTCATCTTAAATTTGTTTCATGAATTCCTTCAAAGATAATAGGTATAACTCATAAAGGTTATTCTATAAGAAGGAAATAAAATAAAATTGACCTAACAATACAAATTATCAAATGTAAAAAATAAATTGCATCAATGTCTACAGAAAGTAAATGTAGCAAGTACTACAACAAAAATAATATTGCAATGATTTGATTCCAAAATTAGGAACCTTAATATTTTCTGGTTCAGAAGTAGGCGGCTGTGGTGCTGCTACATTAGGGAGAGAGCCGCTTCGATAAGTGCCAAGAGTCTGTTGTGTAGGCCTTAGAGAAGATTCAACATTTTCTACAGGCTCAGGTGGAGGTATTACTCTTGCTCGTCGGCTACTTGAATTAACCTGCAACCATGCTGCTTCAACATTTCTGTTTTCTATAGTTCATATTTCTTACCTTCATCATGAACACTTAATATTATTGTACACAGGTTAGTAAATATAAACATTTATTTTCTACTAAGATTAAAGTGACTGTGAATCTATAACTGTGAAATTATAACCAACTTAGTAATACAATCTAAAATATCAAATGAAATATATATTGTATGGGATAAAAAAAATTAAGGGTCAAATTAATATCACATTGCATATGAACGTACGATTTTTTTAAATAAAAATATAATTTAACAATCGACAATACCGACAATAACAATTTTATCACATAAAAACTAAAGACAACAGACAACACAACATAATCTGTTATTGTGTATCTTTCATAATAAATAATACTTAATCATTCATTAATTATTAAGTCGCAATTGGCATATTGTAGTGGTTATTGTTTACGTCGGTTCATACATTTGACGGCCAGGAAGCGATTGCCTGAGTAAATAGGCGACATACCTTATTGGTTGCATCGGAAACTTCACGCATAATTTTTTCAAAAGCAGCCGTTTCCTCTGCTTGCTTTTGATTATGGAGAGCTATTTTCTCACTAAATTTCCGAGGATTCGCCATAACGGTCAACAAACATTTATTATTTTCTTTTTACATCACAATTTTCTATCGTAGTACAAAACGCGCTTGCCATAGATTAAATTATTATAAACTTGCTGTCAAATTAGATGTCAAGACAATGAGCTAATCATTGCCATTTGTAAAATATACCAAAGAGTTTTTTTGTTGGTACCGTCGCTACTTAAGGTAGGTTAAAGTCATACATGATACAGTCTGATCCAGTTTGTATTTTGTGCGTAAAATTCTCCATAATATGATGATGCGTCATATTGCTATATTTGAAGCCAACTTAACCTCGCGGACAGTTGATGACCATAGTAACTCAAGGTCCCTAAGTGGGTAAAAAAACTAATATTTATTTAACAATTGAAGTAATTGCCACATGATTCCAATTATTAGTTCACATGCGTCGAACATTTAAAAAAAAACGTTTACGTATGAAAATTATTTAACTTCAAACCATTACTGAAATGATAAAACAAGAGCAGCAATCGGATGGAAAATAAATTCCCGCCAGATCACATACAAAAAAGTTAACATAAAAGGCATTGGGTAATCATTTCGTTTTAAAAATATTTATAATATATATTAGTATTTTATCTATACAAAGCATATATGTATAGAATGTTGAAATCATGCTTTTGTTTCAAGATAGCATGATATTTCTCTCTGGTTTTTATAATAATTTATTTTGAATAGAATACAATTACATAATTTTTATTCAGTACAGATGACACTTATTGAAAGTCATTATGTGTTTTACCATTATTCCTAAAAAATCTAGTCATTTCTACTCAATATTAAGAAGATGCTGCTGCCTATTTCCTGTTTTAGTTTCCCTCTGACACTCCTTACAACACCCACGAGACTAAACAAAATGAGGATGGTGGATATTCTTGCTCCGTCAGTACATGATTTCTTTGCAATATAACCTTTGTTTATTTTACTTGGCTACTTCAGAAGAAGGGTTATGTTTTATTGAGTACGCGTGTATGAATGTCTCTTTCTTTAGTACGCTATATAGCCTAAACTGCTTCATGAATTGTAACATATGGGATGTCGTAAGATTTGTCTTAATTATGGAAGTGGCATATAAATTTTTTTTTTCAGTAAACTTGATTGGATTCGTTATTTATTACTGTTTAATTGTTGGGCTTGTTTGACAACAACAAAAAAATTGTTTTAATGTTTTGTTACGACTTTTTTACACACCAAAGTATTTTTGAAATAATAAAATTACCCCCGCACCCTCCTTACAGGTTCCTTTCAATTCTTCCTCTATCATTCACAATCCACTGCCGGCTATGGTTAATGGAAAAAAGGTAAGCTCATAATTTGACTGTCGCAAATGTCGCCCACCTTTGCAACCTGTGCCAAACATCGAGAGGATATACCACGTTCCGCCGAGATTAAATTAAAAAAAGAATATTCTGTTTACCTCCTACATTTTTTCTTATCACTATTACAACAAACACTTAACAATGAATAATTTCTCAAAACATTTATCAACTGTCTTAACACACTTGACCTTCGAACAAAAATTTGATATTTCAATTGTTGATAACTTTTGTATAAAATGAAACCACGTTAAATTTACCTACATTTTAAATTATTACAATCGTATACAACAAATGAGAAATGTGGTTTTGAAAAATAAGGTGTTAAATTTCCTGTGTAAGTAATTAGAAGCAGGTATAGAGAAATATTGCACATTATTTACAATTTTATCATTTAATTTTGTTCTTAGTTATTCTTTTAGTTTTATAAATTCATAACATTTAAAAATAAATAAGTAAAATAAAATGATTGATCTCGAATTAACAAATTATTTCATATGTACCCCCGAGCGGCTCTTGATTTCTCTTACACCTTCAAACAAGAAAGTTTAAACAAGAAAGGTTAAATAAATTTATTTCAATAAGCATTGATAAAGTTAAATATTAAACTTTCTTGTGTCTCATTTTTTAATCTGTGAACCTAAGTTTTCGTCAACAACATCGCACGCATGTTATAGATCCAATACACATTTTCAGACACTAAATGTCACACTTTTTGTCCTAGAACAAAACTTAATATTAATATTACATAACCATTTTAATAAATATTCATCCTCCCACAGAAGTCTATCAAAAGTCCAACAATGTCAAATCGTATCTGAAGTAGAAAAGGCCACAAACCATAATAACACTCTCTCGTTCTAGTTTACTTTTAACGCCTTATTAAGCTCCACACACTTTAACAGTCCACAAACAAGAATGGCGAACTAGGCATACCCCTTTGTAAAAGGTACGAGAGTCCAACTCTTACCCATTATATAAAGCTAGTTGCTCTGCGTCGTGCACCATTGTGCAAGTGATCGTACCAGTCAATTGAGCTCCGACAAAAAAGCCGAAATGCAGTGTATTTTCATGCAAAAAACTATCCAAACAGTCAAATCTACAAAAGGACAACGTGGCTTTTCGTCTGTGAATACTTTTAACATAATATTATCGCTAAAACTCGTATTTTATTAATATTTTCGTTAAATACCAAGTGCTGCCAATATAGTTCATCAAGTGAAAAATAAGTAATTTTAAGATAAATATAATTTACTACATAAAATAAATATATTAACGAAAATTTATTTCATATCAACTAAATCAGTTTGTGATGAATAATAATCATTAAATTAAGATATGTAGTGGATTTTGTCAAATGATTTAAATATTCGGGTCAATCCCAACACGACTCTGAATATATTATAATTTATAATCTAATCGATAACTAGCCTTTATCAAAATATTATACAAAGTAAAGGCCGGATAAGTCGAATCGAAATTTGCCACTTCGTGGCAAATGTATGCAATTTTTGTAAAATTAAACTGGTATCACTGCCACTAAAGTACAGCAATATAGTGATGTACGCCACAAGTTTAGCTATCGATAAGTTAAATAACCCATTCGGGTTTGTCTGCCGAACAATCATTTATTTTTTGTTTAGATTTTATAATAAAGTATTACAAATAATAGTAAACTTTTCTATTATTGGTTTAATAATAATAATAAATAAAATTAGTTTATTCAGTAAATGGTCATACATAAATTAGAACCGGGAATGAGGTCTCCTTTTAAGTATAAAAACTTGTGTAAGGAGGTTCCACTCTTCTATAGCACTTACATTACTACTTACATAATATTTACACAATAATTATGAAATAAAAAAAAATAATATTCAAGCGAAAGATGAACATATATACAACATATATATACACGCGCGCGGGCGCATGAGTGTGTGTGTGTGTGTGGGGTGTGTGTGTATTATAAATAAATAACATTATTCATATTGCATAAAAGAGCTTCAGTGTCATCATAACTCTTATGAAATAACCATTCGGTTAGAACATATTTGCAGTTATGGTAGTTAAGGTGATGAATTCTTATGTTTTTATTAATGGCGTTTTATAGAAACGCTGACTGTTTGACATACTGCCTCCTAGCTAAAACAGTTTTAACACCGACAGGTGTAGCCACTAGGTTTTTTCTTCTTTTGACTACAATACAACGGTTAAACTTTATACGGGGTGGATCGTTAGTCAGCATATAAAATTGGGATTCCAATTGAGATCCAAATCGCTCATGTAACGTGTGTCTGTCAAAACTTAGTATTGATACATCCCTAATTATTACTCTTTAAAGTTTGCGAAACGATATTTGAAATGTATTATAATTATCATTATCACTTGATTAAGAAAACAATTTATTTGAACGACCGAATATTAAAAAGTCTTTTACTATTTTCAACTTCCCACTAAGAAAATTGAAAATTTTCAAAAATAGGGAAGTTATTGGTTTAACCCCGATTTTCAAAAATTGTGTTTTTATCAGATCTTGACGTTTTGACATCCCAGGAAGCTATTCTGACTAATTTCACGTGAACGTCCGTACGGATGTATATATATATATATATATATATATATATATTATTTGTGTGTGTGTGTGTGTGTGTGTGTGTGTGTGTGTGTGTGTGTGTGTGTGTGTGTGTACACAAAACAATTGGTCGGTTTTTAATGACGCAGCATTCAATTATGATCCGTTGATTGATTATAAAAATCACAGGTTAGTTGTTATCGGACTGATGGACAAGGCGTGTCGATTTTCCAGCGCTTTAAAATGGAAAGATGAGACCGCAGGCATGTGCTGTTCCAATGGCAAAGTGTCTCTACCGTTACTTGGGGAACCAGAAGAACCTTTGAAAACTCTCTTTTTATATGATGCTAATGAGTCACGGCGCTTTTTAAACAGGCTCCGGAAATATAACACATGCTTTAACAAATGACGTCCTTCGGAGTTGACCGGGAAATAATGATGCCGGGATTTTCGCCTACATTTACGGTGCAAGGGCAAATTTATCATAGAATAGGTTCACTTTTTCCAGCTGAAAACGAACAGCATAAATTTTTACAAGTATATTTTATGGGTGACGAAGAAATCAAGGTAGACCGTCGCTGCCAATTTATCCAGGTAGTTGAGAGAGACGCAGTGTTCAAAATTCAAAGATTCTTGCATGAACGTAACATTTTAGTCAAAACATTTAAAACTGCTTTAGAAAATATACCGGAGGAAGCTACGGCCACAGCAATGTTTTTATCTTTCCGTACTTGCGCTAATAATAAATTTAACAAAAATGTCTTCCCAGTTTCTCCAGGGGCATCTAAAAAGAAAGTGCACCATTTTCAGATTCATTTGTCCTAATACTTTGTCAAAAACTCGTTTTTGTTCTGGAAGCAAGTGGGGTACAAATTCGGCTACTTGCTGCTGCAAACCTGGTATATCGTAGTTTGTTTCACGTATAATTTCATCACTTAGTTCATTTTCGGTTGTTCATGAGGGCTTATCATTCCAAAGTCGCTTAATTTTTTGC